GATGGGTGAGCACATGAATGTTAGTGACAGTGTGACGTAGATCTGTCAGGCTTCTCTAATCCTAGAGTTTCACCGTCTGTTTTCTATCAGAAGCTAAAGCAGGAGATATGTGTAGGAGACTATTTCATGTTCAGCCTGCATTAAGCACTCAGAGTGGCCCGTTAGAATCAGAAATAATCATTACATTTTTGGTTTTCAGTGAAGGACATCTCCCTGGGCTGCCACCTTACCGTGGTGGAGGGGTTTGCGTGTCTCAATGATGCTAGGAGCTAAGTTGTCTGAGGCTTTATGCCTCTGGAAGGGTTACCCATGGCAAACAGGTCCTAGGTGAGGGATCAGACAAAGAGCAGCCCAAAGATCTCTTATGATGAATTATATAGATGGAAACCGTGTTCTTTCGCCCGGATGTGGGTCATCGGGGCCCCCCTCTTGAGCCAGGCCTGGAGGTGGAACACGTTGGCGAGCGCCTGGTGGCCAGGCTTTCACCCATGGAGCCCAGCCGGGCGAAGAGGAAACGTGGGTCCCCCTTCCCATGGGCTCACCACTCGTGGGAGGGGCCAAAGGGGTAGGGTGCGGTGTGTGACGGGTGGTAGTCGAGGGCGGGGACCTTGGCGGTCTGATCCTCGGCTACAGAAGCTGGCTCTTGGCACATGGAATGTCACCTCTCTGGTGGGGGAGGAGCCTGAGTTGGTGTGTGAGGTTGAGAGGTTCTGACTAGATATAGTCGGACTCACCTCAATGCATGGCTCTGGCTCTGGAACCAGTTTCCTTGAGAGGGGTTGGACTTTCTACCACTCTGGAGTTGCTCCCACTGAGAGGCGCCGAGCAGGGGTGGGCATACTAGTTGCCCCCCATCTTGGTGCTTGTACATTGGGGTTTACCCCGGTGAATGAGAGGGTAGCCTCCCTCCGCCTATGTGTGGGGGGACGGGTTCTGACTGTGGTCTGTGCTCATGCACCAAACTACAGTTCAGACTACCCACCCTTTTTGGAGACCTTGGAGGGGGTGCTGGAAAGAGCTCCTTCCGGTGACTCCCTCGTTCTGCTGGGGGACTTTAACGCTCACGTGGGCAACGACAGTGAGACCTGGAGAGGTGTGGTTGGGAGGAACGGCCCCCCCCCCCCCAATCTGAATTTGAGTGGTGTTTTGTTATTGGACTTCTGTGCCAGTCATGGATTGTCCATAATGAACACCATGTTCAGACATAAAGGTGTCCATATGTGCTCTTGGCACCAGGATACCTTAGGCCGCAGCTCGATGATCAACTTTGTTGTTGTTTCATCTGACCTGCGGCCGCATGTCTTGGACACTCGGGTGAAGAGAGGGGCGGAGCTGTCAACTGACCACTACCTGGTGGTGAGTTGGCTCAGATGGTGGAGGAGGATGCCGGTCAGACCAGGCAGGCCCAAACGTATCGCGAGGGTCTGATGGGAACGTCTGGTCAGAGTCTCCTGTCAGAAGGAGCTTCAATTCCCACCTCCGACTGAACTTCCAAAATGTTCCGGGAGAGGCGCGGGACATTGAGTCTGAATGGACCCTGTTCCGTGCCTCCATTGTAGAGGCGGCCAACCGGAGCTGTGGTCACAGGATCGTCTGTGCCTGTCGTGGTGGCAACCCCCGAACCTGCTGGTGGACATTGGCGGTTAGGGATGCTGTCAAGCTGAAGAAAGAGTCCCAGTGTTTCCCCTAGGAATTTTACCAGTTGTGGTGGTGGTTGGGGGATGGGGTGGGTGGGTGGGGGGGGGGGGGGGGGGGATTATGACACGTCTCACCTTTATGTTAATATTGTTTTATTTGATGCACTCCACTTAGAACTACACCAATCCAGCAACTGCGGCATTTTAATAACTAGTATTAAAGGTGAGTACACCAATATTTGCACAAGAATAATTTTTGTTTTAAACTCTCAGTGACACACTTTGCAGGGGGGATTTGGCATTTAATTTTTCTTGAAGTCTGGAAAAACATTTCCTTCTGCCCTCTTTATTTGACTTTCTGCCCCCTTTATTTTGGTCCAAGATCATTACTGGGCTGGCCCTGTTAAACACGTTCTACACCCCAGCAGTGCGCTACCAACACTGATTATAGTGGGGACGGTGTGCTGCTGACCTCTACTCAGGACGTTGTCGATCGGTGGGCAGAATACTTCGAAGACCTCCTCAATCCCACCGAAACGTCTTCCAGTGAGGAAGCAGAGTCTGGGGACTTTGGGTTGGTCTGTCAAATCTCTGGTGCTGAGGTCACTGAGGTGGTTAAAAAGCTCCTCTGTGGCAAGGCTCCAGGGGTGGATGAGATCTGCCCGGAAGTCCTTAAGGCTCTGGATGTTGTGGGGCTGTGTTGGCTGATGCGGCTCTGCAATATCGCGTGGACATCGGGGGCAGTCCCACTGGACTGGCAGACCGGGGTGGTGGTCCCCTTATTTAAAAAGGGGGACTGCAGCGTGTGTTCCAACTACAGGGGATCACACTCCTGAGCCTTCCTAGTAAGGTCTATTCAGGGTTCTGGAGAGGAGGGTCCGTCGGATTGTTGAACCTCAGATTCAGGAAGAGCAATGTGAATATAAGAATAAGGGAAATATTTCATTAAATTAACATTTAAATTATTTATATGCATCATTAAAAAAAACATGTTTTGAAATATATAAAGTGCACCAAACTTTACTCAGTCCATTCAACAATTCTAAATGGACAATTATGTAACTCATCAATTAATTATTTGAAAGGATAATTTGTCAATTAAATGCTGAAAAAAATAAACAATACATTAATGAGGCAAGAACTTTTTTAACTTGAACATACCTACACCCACAAGTCTATTTTTACCTGGAGTCTCCTCTCAAGAGTGGCTGAAGTAATATTACAACTTTGACAGAATACAAATTCTCTCTCTCTCTCTCTCTCTGGAAGCCCCACTCTAAGGGCCTTTGCAGTGTATTAGTGACTCATATATTGTACAACCACAGTCATAAAGTTTTCAATCAGTAGTTTTATTTCCGTATGTATTTTTCCAGTATCACAAAAAATGTAATTTTATATGGTTAAAACCATCTAGCTTATGTGCACTTTTTAAAACACTGCCCAGCAAACATTGGGACGTTTAATGACAGTTGAACGGTCACAACTGTAAAATAATATCACAGGAATTAGGAAAAAATAACATGACATCTACTCTATTTTCTTTGCCCGGACTCGAACCTGGATCCTCCGGGGGAAGAGTCACCTGCTCAACCAGCTGAGCAATGACAACAACTACTGAATTTCAGATTTTTTTATATAGATATAGCTCCCATCATTTTTGGTCCGACAGGAAGCCAATGGGCCAATGAGGTAGAGGGTAAAGTGCGGGCAAAACTAACCAATCAGAGGACAGAGAAGATCTGCCACAGGCCACGCCCCCGGAGTGCCAAAACCCCTTAACAGCCGAGCGAGCAGAGTCAGAAACCGAGGTCGCAGAGAGGCTGCCGCGCGCACGTTTTCCTCTGCCGTGTGCTCGTTGGCAACGTGCGTACGCAGGTTTGTCACTTGTGCACATCCTTGTGCGCTCACAGACACAGTTTGCTCCCTCTCAGTGCACAAATGACCTCTCGCCATGTATATTTTCACTCGCGAGTCCCGTTCACACGCGTGATGTGGATCCAATCCGCGGTTGTGTCTGATGTTCTTCGGATGATAACAGCTTTATAGATTAGAGCAAACCAAATTCTTTTCACCAGAACTCAGCTTATTTTGACTCTGAATGACATCGCATTCACACACAGGTTCCTTCATCACGTTTAGTTACATCCACTCACAGTAAATGCTTAGTTAATTAGTCATGTTTTAATTGTCTGTAAAATAAATTCTCACTTTTATAAACCTGACTCTTTCTTGAAATAACACGAAGTGTGGTTGATCACTGAAAAAGCAAAGAACCTAGATCTTCTGAATTAAAACCTATAATCTTCTGATAATTACAATAAAGACCTCGCAGGTTAATATTTTATATTTACATAGAACAATACATCTTCCTGGTCATAACAAATACAACTCATTGATTTGCCTATGCTACACATTTGTCACCGATTCTCTTCATAACCTTTATGGACAGGATTCCTAGGAGCAGCCAAGGTGTGGAGGGCATCCGTTTTGGTTGCCTGAGGATCAGGTCTCTGCTTTTTGCAGATGATGTGGTCCTGTTGGCTTCATCAGAACGTGATCTTCAGCTTTCGCTGGAGCGGTTCGCAGCCGAGTGTGAAGCAGCTGGGATGAGAATCAGCTCCTCTAAATCTGAGACCATGGTCTTGAGTCGGAAAAGGGTAGAATGCCTTCTCCAGGTCAGGGACGAGGTCCTGCCCCAAGTGGAGGAGTTTAAGTATCTCGGGGTCTTGTTCACGAGTGAGGGAAAACTGGAGCGTGAGATCGATAGGTGGATTGGTGCTGCATCTGCAGTGATGCGGGTGTTGTACCGGTCTGTCGTGGTGAAGAGAGAGCTGAGTCAGAAGGCGAAGCTCTCGATTTACCGGTCGATCTACGTTCCTACCCTCATCTATAAGACCTACAAGCTTTGGGTAGTGACCGAAAGAAAGAGATCGCAGATACAAGCGGCCAAAATGAGTTTTCTCCGAAGAGTGGCTGGGCTCTCCCTTAGAGATAGGGTGAGAAGCTCGGACATCCGGGAGGGGTCAGGGTTAGGAGCCAGTTGAGATGGCTCGGGCATCTGGTCAGGATGCCTCCTGGACGCCTCCCTGGTGAGGTTTTCTGGGCACGTCCAACCGGGAGGAGACCTAAAGGTAGACCCAGGACACGGTGGAGGGACTATGTCTCTCACCTGGCCAGAGAACACCTTGGGATTCCCCCGGAGGAGCTGGCCCAAGTGGCTGGGGAGAGGGAAGTCTGGGCCTCTCGCCTTAGGCTACTGCCCCCGCAACCCGACGCTGGATAAGCGGATGAAAATGCATGGATGGACCTCTTAAAAGGCAAATTTTTGTAAGTTTACAAATGCGTCCCCCCCAATGGCCTCACCGTCTTTGTGGTCTCCCTCAGTCTTCACTCCAACGTCGCCATCTACTGGCCTGTTGCTGGTCTGACAAGCTGCTGAACTGATGAGGGCCACGACTCCAGAGGACGGTGAAAGGTCAGGGTTTTGTTTAACGTCTAAAGTGTTGCTGGAGGAGTTGTCGCTGAGCCCTTTGCTACACACACACACACACACACACACACACACACACACACACACACACACACACACACACACACACACACACACACACACACACACACAATGGATCAAAATGATACAGAAGAAAACTTTACTACAGTGCTTAAATGAAATAATTTCCACTTCCAGTTGTTATGCTTCATTTGAAATATTAATATTTTTATGATAATTCTCTGTTTGTTTAGATGAATCAGCTGATGTTGCTTGTGTTTTGCCATGAGTGACAGCTCCAATTCTAAATCTTATTCCAGATGAATTATAATGTAAATCACCCAAGTGCTGCTCGTAAGGTCCGGTTCTCGTCTTTAAGTTTCAGGTTCTCCTTCTTCAGGTTTGTCATTTCTCCAGCTGCAACAGACACAACCATAGCAGCACATTCATGCTCACAATGACAGAGACTAACGGGTTCATTTCTGGTCGTAGGAGATGAATCAGAAACATCAGTACCTAGAAGAGAGATGTGCTGGAGGCTCTGGATTTGTGAGGCTTCAAATTCCTGCTGTTTCCTTTTTGCTACTTCCTGTGTTACGGTGCATCTGTCACAGAGTCCAGCCCTCAGTCTGAGCAGGAGAAAGAGCCACAACATCACACAACATCACACACAACACACACATCGTACAACATCACACAACATCACACACAACACACACACAACATCACACACAACACACACAACATCATACAAGATCACACAACATCACACAACATCAAACAACAACACACAAGATCACACAACATCACACAACATCACACACAACACACACATCGTACAACATCACACAACATCACACACAACACACACAACATCACACACAACACACACAACATCATACAAGATCACACAACATCACACAAAATCACACAACATCACACAACATCACACAACAACACACAAGATCACACAACATCACACAACATCACACACAACACACACAACATCACACAAGATCACACAACATCACACAAAATCACACAACATCACACAACATCAAACAACAACACACAAGATCACACAACATCACACAACATCACACACAACACACACAACATCACACAAGATCACACAACATCACACAAAATCACACAACATCACACAACATCAAACAACAACACACAAGATCACACAACATCACACAACATCACACACAACACACACAACATCACACAAGATCACACAACATCACACAAAATCACACAACATCACACAACATCACACACAACACACACATCGTACAACATCACACAACATCACACACAACACACACAACATCACACACAACACACACAACATCACACAACATCACACACAACACACACAAGATCACACAACATCACACACAACACACACAACATCATACAAGATCACACAAGATCACACAACATCACACAAAATCACACAACATCACACAACATCAAACAACAACACACAAGATCACACAACATCACACACAACACACACAACATCATACAAGATCACACAAGATCACACAACATCACACAAAATCACACAACATCACACAACATCAAACAACAACACACACAACATCATACAAGATCACACAAGATCACACAACATCACACACAACACACACAACATCACACAAGATCACACAACATCACACAACACCATACAAGATCACACAACATCACACAACATCACACACCAACACACAACATCACACAACATCACACACAACACACACAACATCACACAAGATCACACAACATCACACAACATCACACACCAACACACAACATCACACAACATCACACACCAACACACAACATCACACAACATCACACACAACACACACAACATCACACAAGATCACACACCAACACACAACATCACATAACATCACACACAACACACACAACATCACACAAGATCACACATAATCACACAACATCACACACAACACACGGTATCACATAAGATCACACAACACACACAACATCACACAAGATCACACACCAACACAAAACATCACACAATATCATACAACATCGCACATAAAACACACAACATCACACATAACACACACAACACACACACAACATCACACAAGATCACACACCAACACACAACAACACACAACATCACACAACATAAAACAACAACACACACAATCACACAACATCACACAACAACATCACACAAGATCACACAGACGGGCTTCTGGCTGAGGATGGAGTAGGACGCGAGTCTGGGAGCTCCTGCCGACTTCGATGAAATTGTTATTCATTTGCGCTTTTTTTTTACCATATTTCTTGTCCTAATTTTGATTTTTGAATTATTTTGTTGAGACGTTTTAATCGGCTCAGCATAAAATGGCAGCAAAAAATGTTAAAACCCACAATGCTACTCAAACACAACTGAAGCTTGGTTTGCAAACCGCGGCCACACCCTCAAGTGAGCCGTCGTCTCCTGCAAAGTTTCCCTTGTGCCAAGCTAACCCTGATATCGAGGCTCTCAAAGTCGAGTTGCTTGCTTCGTTGAGGAATGATATTGCTGACATTTTTAAAAAGGAACTTCAGGACACTCTGGGTGATGCTTTGTCCACCATTAAGTTCGACCTGCAGGCGGTGAAGACGCAGCTGGCGATCGATAAAGCTACCAATGACTCTACCATGTCCGAGCTAAAAGGTACGGTCAAGGAGATGGAGCATGCACTGACTGTTTGCTCTGATGATGTTGCTGAGATGAAAACTACTATCAAGAGCCTCACTGCTCATGTAGCCAAGCTGGAAAACAAGTGTGAAGACTTGGAGTCCAGGTCGTGGCGCAACAATGTTAGGATATTAGGAGTACCAGAGGGCCCTGACACGTCCACCACTGCTGCCGTAGCCTCCTTGCTAAAAGAAGCATTTGACCTGGGGAAGGAGCCGCTTTTGGATCGTTCACACAGGACCCTCCAGCCTACACCTAAACCTGGCGACCGACCACGAGCTATTATATGCAGGTTTCATTACCACACTGATTGTGTTGACATTTTACGACGTGCTAGAGAACGCCGACAGATTAAAGTTGGAGACCGAACCATCTCAGTCTTCCCCGACTACACCGTCAAGGTGGCATGGGCTCGTGCTGCATTCAACACGGTCAGGCAGCAACTCCGTGGCATTGAAGGTGTCCGGTACGGCCTGCTTCATCCAGGACGACTCCGCATCACATACAAGGGTGTTGAGAGGGACTTTGTCTCAGCAGAAGAGGCAAGTGATTATGTTAAAACTTTGATCTCTGGGTGAGCCTGAATAGCCTCCTAGTTTGATGCTGTAATGTAACTAAGTGCTCACGCTCTCGTTAGGTTTAACGCCACCTGTGCATTGTTTTCTTAGACCGCTGTGCCAGTTATTATACTGTTGGTGTGCTGATTCCTTTTATTTTCATTGTTAACTAATGATACTGAATTATATGATATACTCTAGAGTTCAAAGGACTAGGTGGTATGTTGTGAAGCGCACACTGTTATACTGTAGAGAAGTTGGCGAGAGGTTGTGGTTTTCTTTTCTCTCTCTAGTTCCCTCTCTCACTTTTATTTTGTATTTGGACGCCAGTTAGTCCAATCACCTCTGTGAACCATTTTTGCTACTTTGGGGTACACTGCTGTCTCCTTTGTTTCGTTTTGTGGAGACTTGGGGTGTGTTTGTGTTGGGGGGGGGGGGGGGGGGGGGGGTCCCACTTGGCTCTTCATGGCCACCTGCATCTTGGTTTTGTCTTTTTCTTTCTCCTTTTTATGAATGGTTAATGGTAATATAGACCCCAGCATTGCTGGGTCAGGTATGCCTCTTAGGTTTATTAGTTGGAATATCAGAGGTATGGGTAACCCTGTTAAGAGATCTAAGGTTTTCACTCACTTGAAACGTCTGAATTCTGACATAGCTTTTTTACAGGAGACTCATCTCCGTATTAAGGATCAACATAGGTTATATTGTCCTTGGGTAGGTCAGGTTTTTCATTCAAATTTCAATTCAAAGGCTAGAGGAGTGGCCATTCTCATCTATAAGAAAGTTCAATTCTCTTCGACCAATGTTATCGCTGATGGGAACGGTAGATACATCATTGTTGCTGGCACCCTAATGCAGAAAAAGGTTTTGTTGGTAAACGTATATGCCCCGAATTTTGATGATGCTGAATTCGCTAATAGATTACTAAGTAACATCCCCTTTCTGAATACACATTTGCTTATTTTTGGTGGTGATCTGAATTGTGTTTTTGTTCCAAGCTTTGATCGTTCTGGTCCTCGTAATTTGACTCCATCATCTATGTCTAAAACATTTTCAGATTTTATGATACAGAATGACCTTGTTGATCCATGGAGACTTCGCAACCCTACAATCAAAAAATTTTCGTTTTTCTCCCAGGTCCACCAATCTTATTCCAGGATTGATTATTTTTTCATCGACAGAACTCTAAATTCATGTGTTACTAATTCCGACTATTCTGGTATTGTAATATCTGATCACTCTCCTCTGCTATTAGATGTTCAACTCTCTGCATATAAACGTAGTCCTCCTCTTTGGAGATTTAATTCTCTCCTTTTGGCTGATAAAGAATGTTGTGAATTTATTTCAAGCTCTATTGAGGAGTTCTTGTTCTTTAATCGTGATGATTCTGTTTCATATTCTCTGCTGTGGGAGACTCTTAAATGCTATTTGAGAGGTCAAATTATCTCTTATTCTGTACGTGCTAATAAAAAGATTAATGCCAGGCTTAAAGAACTTACGGTGGCAATTAGTAACTTTGATCAAAGTTATGCACTGAATCCTTCTCCAGAATTACTCAAGCAGCGCCTTGATTTGCAAGCCGAATTTGATCTTATGTCAACCAAAGAGGCTGAGCACTTATTACTACGCAGTCGTGGCTCATATTATGAATACGGTGACAAGGCTAATCGCTTGTTGGCGCATCAGTTACGACGTCAGGCCTCTTCGCGTGTGATACCTAGTATTAAAAACTCTTACGACAATATTACTACAGATCCTTTGAAAATTTATTCTACCTTTAAAGCATTTTACTCTTTGTTGTACAAGTCAGAATTTCCCACGGATAAAGCTAAAATGAATGAATTTCTTCAGTCTCTTTCAAACCCGGTTATCGGTACTCATAAGGCCGGGCAACTGGACTCCCCACTATCTGCTGATGAAGTATTAAAAGCTATCACAGCTATGCAGTCTAATAAAGCCCCAGGCCCGGATGGGTTTCCTATTGAATTTTATAAAACATTTATTGGTAAACTGGCACCTTTGCTTTTGTCTGTGTTTAACGAGTCCTTGGAATCAGGTTTATTACCTACTTTCACGCAGGCCACCATAGCGCTCCTTCTCAAAAATGACAAGGACCCAACTTCCTGTGATTCCTACAGGCCATTATCTCTGCTTAATGCCGATGCAAAGGTATTGGCTAAAGTAATTGCATCTCGCCTTGAGGATGTGCTTCCTCGAATTAACTCCGAAGAGCAGAACAGCTTTATAAAGGGACGGCAATTGTTTTTTAATACCCGTACACTCTTTAACGTTATTTACTCAAAGCATCTATCTCAACTTCCTGAACTTGTGA